TGTCGTTTAGATAAGGAATTTTAGAAGAAAATAAAAATTTAAAAAAAATCTTTTGATTACTTAATCACAAATTTTTCTAAAAAAATTAAATTTAAAAGTTTTCATATATTTTTCTTTCTTATATCTAACTCTTTTCTTTCCCGTTGAATACGTAAAATGCATTCGAGTTTAATGTTATAATTTCAACTTTAGTTATATTTTATGACATCATAATATTTTATTAAATCAATATCCTTTGATCTTATTAGTTAAATGAATAATATTAATGTTATTTTGCTTGCGTGGGGTTTCTTTCCTTTTAAAAATATACTGACATGTTGAGTAAATAAACCTTTTATAATATTTTTGTATAATTAACTTTTTATATTTTTAATTTTAATAATTATAAAATATAAAGTCAATAGTTAATGTTAATGTAGAGAAAGAAGATAGGTGGAAAGAATGTGAATCCGTAATGACTTGAATTTATAACAAAAATCATTAAAACAATGTGAAGAATGTTTAAATTTTAATATTGAATTTTCTAAATAATCTATTTTGAATTATGTCAGGCGCGTAAAACTTACAAATAATTTTCTACTATAATTTCTAATGTGTATGCAACTTAAATGCAAACACTGTATACACGTGAAACGATGATATAACAATGAAAGACAGCATTAAATGAGTACATCGAAAGGAAAATATTGACCCTATTCTTCACAGGTTTTTACAAAATACTCCCTCCCTTCATTTCTTTCAATTATTTTGTATCCTAATAAAATAACTATACAGTTGTGTGTTTTATATAAATTATTTAAAGCTTATAAAATATAATTAATTTTATTTTGAATTTTATAATGATAAGTAGATATTTTTTAAAACTTTAAATTATAAATTTCTAATAGGTATAATTTAAGATTATATTATATAAATTGAGATAAATATTACTTTTTAGTAATTTTAATGAAATTATTAGATTTTATTTTTCATCGAAAATTAATCTTAATTTTGTGATTAGAAGGTAACTTGAAGTGCGATTATCATTTGTGATTGTATAAGCAAAATCAGTGTTAGAATGGTAGATTTTTGAACTTTGAATTGAAGTGGACAAGAAGATCGACATAGAAAAAGTTTGTAAATTCTGCTGTCTGCCATGATTAAGTCATGATAATGTTCGGCTACTTCCAAATTTACTTTCTCTTATTGCAAGAAAGAATTATTATCAGCATCAGCGCGCACACGTGCTTCTCTACCCGAGACCAATTCAAAATTGCAACTATGTCATTAAGAACCGTCTAATTTAATGATTCAATTTTTAACTTCAGATTTTCTTGTAAACAAATATGGATTTAGTTCAATCCTAAAAATTGGTCTCTGAATAAGAAATTTGTAATCATCGTATGATTATTTTTGGACAAAATATAATAACTATTTTATAAAATAAATATATTCAGTCTCAAATCGGTTCAAACAGTACTACTAAATGAATTAAACAAAAAATAATTTGGTGAAATTGAAATCAAAATTTTTAACCTGAAATAATAAAGTTTTAAATTTTTCGACTTAATCCATTGGAATAACTCTACATTCTCCTTCACGGAAACATTCTTAATGGAATTTGATTTCCATTTTGTTTTTCTTTTTGGCATTTTCGTGTTATTTTTTCCACCAAATTTTAATCACTAGCCACGTATCGCCTCAGATGGCTAGCCCAAATTCAATGCCCAAATCTTGGTAAAGAAAAATAAACTAGGGTTGAAGTTTATTTAGTTTGGAATTAGGTATTTTTAATAGAGATAATATTTTTATATTTTAATTTTATTTTTAAAAAATAAATACAATAAATAATCAACGATTAAAATAGAAAAATTGTAAAAATAAATTAGTTAGTTAGAATATGTCGATGAAGAAAGGTTGTTCATGCTGTAAAGATAATTTACACTTGCAATATATCACCATTAAATAGAAAAAAAAAAAAAAAAACTCACTTTTCGGGTAGGACAGAATTTGGGGTAGTTTCGGCTTTTGTCATTTCTCACGATATTAGTGTCGATTCTATATTTACATGACAATATATCACCCATCTAAAAGATAATTTTGTATTTCATATTAAAAAATTAAAATAAAAGATATATTCGCATGCAACATGTCAAATGAAAAGACTTTCATTACGAGGGAATAAGAAGAGTGAACCTAAACCAAACAAAATCATAAAACGTTAAAATTGTAAAATAAATTTATGTCACATTTTAAGATGGTTATGTAATTTAAATAAATTTCAATTTTAGCTATTTTATATGAATGTATAAATCCAATTCTTCTTCTCACCCTTTTTCTTAAATACATTATATATTGTTTAATAATCTTTTCTACTAAAAAGGCATGACCTTTTTTTCTTTAATAATGGTTAACAACATATTTTATTGCCAGTAAAAAAATTGTAAAAGTCATTAAATAAATGTATAATATCTAATAAATGTTAACTATTAACATATAAATAAATGTATTTCAGTATAAAAATTTTGTCTTTTATTCTAGAGTATCTTAGATTTTGTGTCAATTATGATTTTAACAATATATTATTTATTTTAAAGTTTTAATCTATTACGATTTTATTCTTAAAAAATATTTTAGTAGATTAAGAAAAGAATATATATAAATTATTTTTTATTTTAATTTCTAAAAAATGTAACTTTCAATCAAAAATTAAATTATAGTGTAGATAGAAGTGTAAGGAAATTTTTTCCTTAACCTATTGCAGACATTAATATTCTATCTAAAAATAAGAATATCTTAATTTTATATTTATAATTATAATATAATTAGAATCATATGTAAGATATTATAGTTTTAATCATTACGATTTTATTTTTTTAAAATATTTTAATAAATTAAAAAATAAAATATATATAAAAACCTCGACTCCAAATCATGTAAAACTCGTAAATAGGTTGAAAATGCAAAAATCAATATGATGCATTGTCATTAGCATGACAACTTTTGAAGCCATTAAGTGTCGGTCAATATGCTTCTTCCATCAAACAATTGAAAAGAAAAATACAAAAACCAGATAATGAACCTAGTAGATATCAAAGCATCTTAACCTATTTATAATAACTGTTGTTTCACAACTTCAACCATTCATATATGAACCTCAATAAGGACATTTTGTCAAATGTCAAAAGAGAATATTACTATGAACAAAAATAACGAAGAATATAACTTTATTTATCTTTCTACTAATTAATGAATGCTTTTGTTCGCATGCTGAACAGCTTGTTATGTTTCTTACGTATGGCATTAGGGTTCTATCTTCAGCATCAGTGTTCTTCCAAGTGGCAAATTGCTACTAACTCTAAGCTCAAGAATCTATACGTCACCATGTATGCAAGCAAAAGCAATGACATTAACCACATGAGTGGATAAAAGGTTGCTAATTAATTAGAGAGAGAAAAGAAAAATGTAGACCCTTTTCGTGGTTAATTGGATACAGCTTTGAACCACAATAAGAACAGTATTTTATCAATAATGATAACAACGACCACATATATAGTGGATGCATGAGAAACTAGCTAGTTGAAAATATATGAGACCTATAAAGCACTAAGAAAATAGCTGAATCCCACTTTCTTTCATAATTTTATGAGTATATAAGTGTTACAAAGCTAATACTACCCTCAATGAAAGTGAACTTGTTTTATTAAAAAAAATGTTATTTTGAGATTTTTTAAAAATATTATTATTTTATTTACTAGTATTTTATGATATTACTTAGCAATTAAGACTCTAATACATTTTTTTGCTTTGTTTTGTAGTTTAAAAATGAAGGAAGGCAAAGCGGCAGAAGTAAATAGAAGCATGTTTAAGGAACATGATGGTGTGGTTGGTTTGGAATAGACACCCTCTTTACAACTAAAAAGGTAGTAATGATAATCTTCACATGGACCTCACATGCTCTCCATATATTTGATATAAGCACACTTCACTACATTAATTACAAGACCGAGTTTTGTTTTTCAATTTGTACTCATTGTTGCCTTGTATCTCGTGGGATGGAATTAGAGTTAACACATTTTCACACATGAAAGATGGGAGTGGGAAGTGTCTCCTTTGTCTTTTCTCACCATTTTTCTTCTCTTTCCATTTTTCAAGATATTTAATCTTTAATTGAGTCCAAATCACAATCATTTTTATGAGAAATTGATTCATATATCAACTATATATATATATATATATATATATATATATATATATATATATATATATATATATATATATATATATATATATATGCAATTTAGACTAATATATTTATAAGCAGCTATAATAATTTTAGTATGTAATTATCATGTATCACGTACATAATTAAACACTCATCTTTAGAATCTTTATTAGAAAAATACATTGTATAATTCTTTAAAAATATTATCATGATAGAGTTTATCTCTAGCTATCATTTCATTGGTTAAGTTAGATTCAACTTTGACCCTTTTTTTTAACAGAATATAAGGTTTGAATTGGGTAAAGAAAATCAAAAGAAATTTTACACATTGTGACAAGAAATAAATAAATAAAAAACAACATTTTGTGATCCACGTAATTAAGTTATTGGGATAAAATTTTTTTTTTTCTTCTTTTTCTATTTTTTTTGTAAGCAATTTTTAAAGGTCGTAAAACCGTAAATATTTAGTAATGTTAATTCATCAAATCATCCTATAAGCAACGTATATAAAGATCATGAAACTTAGTGCATGTTTGAACGTGTGTGTATATATAATTGAATACATAAAACGGTTTTCTTAGAAGCAAGTGGTAACAAAAGACACACTAAGTCATTAAAAAAAAAAAAAAAAACTAAAAAACTCTTGGTTTGGTGAAGAACTTGAAGAGGAGTGTCTTTGTCTCTCATATTACATCAATTTATGATCTTGTGTGTACGTTTTTAATTTTGTCGTGAGAAGTAGTTGAAAATGAATCTGGAATGAGAATTCTTCTCACAAGAAGTGTCTTGATTGGACATGGCATACACAGTAGGCAATTCAAGAACCCTATTTTTGCATCACGTTTGTCAATGGAATGTGCGCTTGTCTAGGGCTAAGTAGGCAGAAGCACATGAGAAAGCAGGGAGAATGGTCCCTTCAAGTTGTTGTGAGAATTGAAAACTCTTGAAATATGAATGGCTTGAGAAACTAAACTAGGTCATGGGGTCCTATTAGTGGTAGGTTGTGGGGAATGCTAAGATACTTTGGTGCCCTAGTTGGTCCATTTGAGTGCTATGGGGATGATAACTACCCGCGCATGCCATGGTTTAACCCTTTTGGTATAACATATTAGATTAGTATACCCTAAAGCAAAGGACCCATTTATGAAAATATGAGAAGGACTAACCATCTTTTGAACACTTTCTTTTGTGTTTGGACACCCTCTTCACTAGTAAACATAAAAAATTCCACTAAATTTGATCTACAATGCATGAAAATAAGCTTTTGAAAAGAAAGAAACTTGCAAGAAAAATTTGAAAAATAATAGTAGTTTTGAAGTTACACACCTGTTAAATAATATTGTGTATACCATCTTCTTGTTTGGCTGAGGTACAATGCATGTGTTATGACCAAAAAGTATGCAAGATATTTTTTGGTTTTTGTCTTGCTTCCATGGTTGAATGAAACTATATGCAATCATGTGGTGTACCTTAGTGCCTTTTTTTTCCCTTTGTGCCAGGGTGCCAATCATTATTTGAAACCAAAGAAATGTGTGAAATATAAAAATTAAAATGTACCTACGCTTCATTTTAATCTTTTAGCGTCTATCGATGGAAACGTGCAAGTTGTGAAAATCCCTGTATAATTTTTTTTAAATAAAAAAAAAAACTTTTTTGTAACACGAAGAAAAATAAACAAAATTAAAAACTAAACACAATTAATTATGGAGTTATACATAATCAATTATATAATTATAATTGATTATATATATTTTTATAATTTTAATAATAAATAATTAAAAAATTATATTAAAATAATAAATAAGTTTATTATTAATAAATAAATTTATTTTACTTTCCATTCATTTTTTTAAAAATTCAATATAACCCTTTTCTTTTTCCTCAAATCTATTCTTTCAATTCATACACCCCATTAAAATTTAACCACTATTAAATTTCATTTCAATCACATTAAATAAACTAAAAATTTCTTACTTTCTCACTTTACACATCTTATTTTAAAAGTTAAATACTTTATTCAGTATAAGAAAATTAACGAATAATATTTAATAAATTCTTGATTTGTTATTTAAATAATATATTAGTTAATACTTTTTCATCAATAATTGAAATTACTATTTACTTTGTATAGGTGGTGGAATATTATAGCTGCCTCCTTTAAAAAAAAAAAAACTAGTAGCAAATTAGTAATAATACAAAAATTATATTGTTAGTGAATCTTAGTTCAATAAAATGAAATGCTAGGAAATATATATGTACTCGTAGAAATTAGTTGAGAATGGTTAAAAGAGCAAAAAACCGAGAACAGAATTACTCTACAAAATTTGAAAAGAACGTGGAGAATTATCTTCTTTTTCTTTTTGTTTGTGGGAAGTTAAAGAAACTGTGGTCCTATATGATCTGAGCTTTTTAATGAAAATTTCATCCCACAACGTTTTCCTCGCACAAAATTTTTAGACCACAAGACTCTTATTTTATTTTATTTCACTTTTTGTTATTCATAATTTTCTTTCTGGAAGAACTATTTTGGACTCCAAGATAGAGCAGGCCAGAGTTGATTATGGGCCATAAATAATCCATTCAAGCCATTTTTTTCCTTGCACTCCTATAATTTTTTCTTCCACTTCTGTACTTCAAGTAAACTTATTAAAATGCCTTTTCAATCATTTTTGCAAACCCTAACATCTTCTTCTATTTGTCTCTAGATCTTTATTGCTTATCTTCTATACCTTTATAAATTTGAAAATTTACTTTTTTATGTTATCATTTCTATTCAAGATTATTTTTAACACTTAGAGGTGAATAATTATTAATATTATATATATATTTCGTGTTCTTATATTGAAATTACATACTATGACTCAAATTATTCGATTCAAAATAATTTTGTAAAAATTAGATTTAGTTCTCAAATATATTTTGGGTTGATTTTCCATAAACACATTCTAAAAAACTGAATCTAGAACAAGATTTTTGGAAAAGATTTTCCATACACAAGTTCCAACAAGTGGGTTATAGAACAACATTTATAAAAAAAAATTTTCCAAGAACATGTTCTAGAAAGTAAACTCTTGAATACGTTTTCATAATTAAATTTTCAAAAATACATTCCAGATTAGTGGGTCTAGAATTATTTCTAGAAAATTTATTTTGGACCAAGTTTATTTTGAATTCATTAATTTGAAATACGTTTTCAAAAAATTATTTTTTGAAAATGTATTTTAGAAACCACTTTCCCGAAATATATTTTTGAATTTTTTGTTCGAAACTGTATTCTCATTCTCTAAAACATGTCTCCAGCCAAAAATATTTTTGCACAAATACTGTACATGGTAAAAAATTGAAACAAATTTTAAAGGTTGATGATTCTTACCTGCTTCTTATAATTCTTGGAATAACAAAAGAAGGAAGAATGAAAATGTGTAATAGGATTTAAAAATAAAAATTTCAAAGTTTGGAAAAGAAAAACACTTATGAGATCAAAATAAATATAAAAGTAAAATTTAATTATGGAGATCCAGAAAAAAAGAAAAACTATAAAAGTGCAAGAAGAAATTACCTCTGTTCAAATGTACATAGCCTTCAAATTAAGGCCACTAGTATGATGGGGCCTCATCCATTAAAGGAATAGAAAAAATATTTTGACAACGCAAACTCTAATATACAACTGATTATATTAAATGTAATATTAAAATTTATTATTTTGGTCGGATGGGTTCTCAACCTATCATTGCTCTATAGGAAAATCCTTCAGATCTTTAAAGCATAATTTCACTATTTTTTTTTTCTGCACCCCAATAAGTTTTTTCACTCCCATAATATATAATATATGTAAAATATTAAAAATATATTTTAGGTTAGTTTTCTTCCGCGCCACACCTTCCTACCAGAACTTGCACTTTGTATTATTACACTTCATTTTTTCGCTTGAAGGTCAAATTGGTGATTTACACTTGTGAATGGTATTTAAAAATTTTATAAAAAAAATGTATTTAATTTACATTTGTAGTGTTTCAGAATATATTTTTATAAAAAATAAAATTTAAAAATGATCTAAAATTCATTTTTAGATTGTCTTTTGTTAAAATATATTTTGAATTTAACAGTACAGAACTTATTTTTCGATTATTGAATCTGAAATATATTTTTTGAAAATACAATCTCAAAATATATTTTAGAAAATATAATCTGAAACTTATTTTCAAATAGTATTTCTTAAAATATATTTTAAAAAATTTCAGTTTTTTTAGAACTTATTTATATTAAAAATAATATTTTCATTTTAGATGAATATAGATCGAGAAAAAAGAAGTATTGGATGCAGGAAGAGGCTGTCCATATTTTTTAAATAAATAAAACAAATTGGGCTTGCCATCATGGAAGAAGGGAGAGAAAAAATAAATGTCAGCAGAAATCATGGTAACTAGGTTCTGCTATTATTTGAGCCCATAACATAAACATTAACTCTTTAAAGATGAGTTTTTTAAAATTATTATCTGTATTAAAGTTTTATATGCTTTTAGTTCCTGTATTTATTCAGAAACATATGAATTTAATCCGGATGAAGCCACATAACATTTAGTAAACATATAGATTAAAACGTTTTAAAATTTAATAAAAAGTTAATAAAATATTTAGTTAATTTAAAAGTTATTTTAAAAAGTTAAAAGTTAGTTTAAAAATATTTATTAGCGAATCTCAATTAGAAAATTTGATTTAAATATCCATCTGGTAGTCACTCAATAAATTCGTACAAGTTTGGTTTTGAGCATTCATACGTGTTATTGCATATTCCTCCTCTACAACGCTGAACTTAGTTCATCATACTTGCAATATTAATTTATATGGAAAAATTAATTAAACTTTTCCCTTGGATCTTTTTCAATCTGCACTCAAATAAATGTAAATGTTTTGAAAGCCTAAATAAAAATAAAAATATCAAATACATAAAGCAGGCAAAATAAGATAAAGTTTCAGGCGTGAGTTCCAAAACACATACAACAAATCAATCTATACAAAACGTGGAACAAGTTAGGAATCAGTGTCATAAAATTTGGCTCAACAGAGCGGGAGAGTCAGCTTCTGCAAATCTCCAAGTGCAAGTCACAACTTACCAACATTTGTTATCACCGCCACACACTTGGACCAGCAGTTGCCTTGGAGAAACCAACTTCCTCCCCCTGAGCTGAACTTCCAGTAGACAGGTGTGAAGAAAATGTCCCATTTTTCCTCACCTTACCTGGAAATTCCTTGCTTATACTACCTTTCAAAGACAGGTTCTTTTTAACACGATTTCGATTAAGCAGGAACATAGCATTGCGTGGCGGTGCATGCAGAGCCCCTTCAACACAATCACCTACCTGTGCACAACCCCAAGGTCTGCAAGGTCCATCGTCACGAGATGATTTAAGCCTAGGAAAACCATTCCTCGATCTCAAAAAGCCCCGTTGATCAGAGGAATTTTCCTCCTCCAGTTTTACACAAACAGGGCAAGGAGGATCGCTTTTCCGTGTCTTTGGAGTTGTTTGATCCAAACATTCAGCATGAAATGCATGACAACAAGGAAGAACCCCAATCGTAGGCATGTCTCCACTTCTCACAATTCGACGGGAACTCCATGGTGATCTCTGTGAGAGAAACCTTTCGCACAAGCCACACTTTAATCCATCTGAAGGAAAATTTGGTCGACCATGTGTTTCTAATTCAAATGACTCTGTAACATCAGCAAACTCTTGACTGCTGCTGGCACTACTCCAACGCTGGCCATCTCGGAGTGGAGTAGAAGTGTCAAACTCTGTAAAATCTGTAACTGCAGGATCAAATGCATCTCTGGTAGTTGATAGGTCATTAAAAGACATAGGATGAATGGGTTTAGAGATGAAAGAACGAAGATTGGAGAAATTCCTCTGACAGGATAAATGTGATTTTATAGTGGACTCGGATTCACTACTTTCCGACAGAGATGATGTTGATCCCCCACTGATGGGATTTCCGGATGTTCCCTGCATATATCCTTTACCTGTTAGCCTATTTCTTAAGACAAACACATGACAAATAATTGCCTAAGAAATAGTTTTTAGTAGTCCGAAACCAGACACTTACCTCCTTAGTGCGAGTAAAAGATACCCTACCCGCAGAAGGATGAGCATCTACCAAAAGAAGGAATGAGAAGGGAGCAGTTCAATAAGCAGAAGTAACAACAAACAAGTTTTTTAGTGAAAGAATAAACCACAAACAAAATTGAGCGCGACAGTTTTATTGTTAGTAATATCAGAAAGATTTCACTGTACCATCAATTGCTACCCCTAATATAAACATTATCAAACAGACAAATTATGAAGATCCTTAAGGAATCAAATGATATCATTATTCACAAGAAAAGGAAAATTATTACATGGGTTTCACTAATTAAAAAAAATAAAAAAAGTTAAAGCAGTGTCTTTTGGAGGAGAATTATAAGAAATCATGACTCAATTCCGTACTGAGGCCAGATTTATCAAGATATGGGCTTCCTCTTGTTGACAATTCACAGAAAATACTAGTTCAGCTCTCTCCCATCCCATTTGATGTAAGCCCTAGCTCTACAAATAAAAATGACCAAAAGCATGTTTATTGTTTCATTGCTTCCAACTAAATGTCAAAGGCATAATAATAGCAAGAACATAATGAGTAGAGCAAAATTGTTTCGATAATAACCAACAAGATTGTTGAGCACTTTTTTGCCCCAAATACATTTTCAGTAGAACATAGCTTAGTAGGACCTTAAGGGATCGTTTATAAACACCTACAACATACTATTTTAAAAATTCATGTATAAGGAATTAATTACCTTTCCTAGCTGAAGTTTCATAATTGTCAATGCTAATTTCTTGTATTGCAGGAGGCGTCCACTGAGGACCCTGAGAAAGGTCCGATGGACTGCTAAGGAAAATACCAGTACCATCTGAAGCAGAATAGTGAAGATCATAAAGATGGTTGCCTCTGACCCAGCCCCTACTTTCTTTATCATTTGATGATGTAGAAGATCCGTAGAGTTGAATGCCATCATTCACACTATATGGGATCTCTTCAGACTGGAATCTGAAATCCCACCTTGTTGGAGGTGGTGAAAAACTTGAATTTGTACGCCAGTAGGGCTCATTTGGACCCATGGACCAGTCCCTACTTCCTGCATTTGATCCATGTGGCCTTGAAGCCACACAACAAAGAGACCCCGTTTTAGCTATTTTCTCAGAATATCACAATAAACCCAATTCTGAACGCCTCCACTCCAATCTATTTCGGACACTAGACAACTTAGTAATCACAAACAAAGGAGGACCACTTCCTAAAACAAGTTCCAACTCCTCAAGCCAAATAATACAACACTCAATAACTTCCACCTTCAACCTCCATGTCTAACAGAGACTAAATTCCACATGCAGCAAGAGCTTCGCTCTGAAAACCCTACAATCAGAAGATGAGAAGAACCGCATTCACCATCTAAATAGAATAGAGAGAACATTATCATTTCAACCACCAAAAGAAAAATTTAAACTACTGTAAACAAGTAAAGATAGTCTCAGCAATAAGCCATAAACATCAGATTAGTTAACAAAATGCAACAAATTCAAAAGATGACATCCAATCACAGAAACATTATACTTAAAAAATCACTAAAGCAAAAACCAAGCACAGTGATAATCATCAAATTAGTAATCAGTTACCAAATTGCAATAAATTCGAAAAGTGACATCAGAATGAAAGAAACATGGTTACTAAAGCAAAACCAAACATAATGTTAAAACTTCACATTCTCACAAAGGATATCAACAATCACAATGCACAGAAACCACAGTTAAAAAAAATAAAAATCAAATGCTACTTTACCAAATATACAGTTAACGGGATTTTTTTTTTGTAAACCGAGAAAACTAGTAGAAACTAGAATACAATACAGCAAATAAAAAAGCAAGAAAAACACGGGAGAAACAGAACCTCATACGTCGCACGTGACAGGACAGCAACGGCACGTGCGAGTTATCTAGTGAGCAAAATTGTGTTTTTCATTTTCAATTTTTTGAAGAACTGCGTTGTTGTAAAGTGTGATTGTAAAAGCGCATTGTGCGAAGCGAAGAAGAGAATGGAAATGTGGAAACCCTAAGTAACTGAACAGAGGAAGAAGGGAGAAGGAAGAAGAAGAAGAAAGCAAAGTGGTTGAACAGCTGGCACTCACATCTTCTCTTTGTGTTGTCTTGTTTCTGATAAACTGTTTTGAACTTTAAACGCGCCGTTTCCACTTTCTCCACTATTTTTCTAATATTATTATTATTATTACATCATTTAATGATGTATTTTTCTTCGATAATTAGCAAAGGTTTGACGCTTTGTCAATGTCACTAGTTTGTAATGTTTTTCAACACGTCACTCAACAGTTTTAAATAGCATTATGTTATTATGTATTATTTATAAAAAAAAAACATTTATCTTTGTCACATTATTATGTGATTTTCTTTCTAAGTTGTGTAAAATAAAATGCATCTAATATTTCTCGTTTAAAAATGAAAGAAAAATTCAATTATGTAAATTCGTAATCAAATTACTTTTCATCAACTATTTACCTGTCAAATGAAAATTCAAGGGCATGTTTACTTTGAAAAGGAATATTTTTAATTATAAAAATTCTCTCCTTTTATTTTATTTTAAAAATATTTATGTAAAACTATGAAAAATGATAATTTAACTAATTATTTTCTTTCTAAATTTACAAAAATAAAAAAAGTAATATTTTTATAGTTAAAAAAAAGCAATATTTTTATAGTTAAAAAAAAGTTGTCAAACGTGACATTTATACTTTTTTTAATCAAAAGTTAGGTGCTGCTGATATAAGCTATATAGAGACCTCTTGACTTTTGTCTAAAGCTTTAACTTTACCCAACGGATCTTACGCTTTTTACAATCACGTTTTCACTACATATGAGCTTTTATTATTATTAAAGTTAATTGTTTTACAGTGTATCAAAATTAAAAAATATATATTTTATAACTTAATCAATTCTTTTTATATAATCAACTATTCTATAAATTTTTAAAGAAATCTTTTTACGCAGAAAAAGTAGCGATTTAATAGGTTTATTCTCGGTTGCTATCACATGTAGCTATCAACTACATTACTTCTAAGAAGTAATGATTTCATTTAAATAACCACACTTGCATTGCAAATTATAAACATAGGAAAATATGGTAATGAAATTTGCATATGTCGTGAAAAAAATGGTAGTTGCCCACAAGATCACCAAGTGTAGAGTATGGATGCTCTAAGCAAAAGGTAAATGGCCTTTTCATGTTAGTTACACTAAACCAAGTAACTATAACCAACCAACATTTGGCTTTGTCGTTTTCTATTATCATTAATCATAAACACTACGCAATTTTCTTACGAAATAGAAACTTCACCTACCATACCATAAGGTGGGTCCAATGTGTGGATCAAACCATGGCAAAACCACATTAGCTGGTTAACCATAGAAGATTGCCTTACATACAAATTATAGATCGATAGGTATAATGTTTGTTTATTTGATCATAATGTTCATTTGATATAAGCTGGTACCACAGCAAAATGATCTTGCCAGCGATTATTTGATGATAATGTTTATAACACTCGGTAGGTGTACATATGAGGTCAACAGGAGACACGGATCATAACAAAGGGAAAGGTAACAAAGCAATCCAAGTAACCGAGACTCCAACACACAATTCAGAGGTGTAAAAACAAATGAGTGAAACAACAAACTAACCGAGATCTTGTTCAGTCACATTCACATGAAAGATAACTAAAAGGAAGTATATAAGTAAAGGAGAACCTTTAAGAATAGTTTGGGATTAAGTTAGACATATTCAAATTTTAAGAAGTTACCTGTCTCAATGTAAGATTTGAGAATATATAGAGGGGCCCTTTACATGCTGATCAAAGCATGCATGGCTAGTCCAACTCAACCATTTTGGCAGTGGAGGACACACGTGTTTGTAGACAGATTTGTACACAGCAGGGCTCACAGTTAGTCACAAGTTGTGTGTTGACCTGAAAATACTACTATCTTTTCCAAGCAATGTAGCTGGTAGGCTAAGAGGATCAAAGATTTTGATACTACTTGTAAGCTATACCATATACATGGGGGTTTATAAATGTAGCACTAGACAAGAATGCTAAGTTAAGCTCAACACTTGCAAATCCGGCCCTGGATATATTGTTTCCAGTGTCTCTAGAAAGGTGACAACCATCTGCAAGTGTCTGTTGCAGAGGATCAAGAACTCTCTGCATAAATTTGAGAAAAGTTCCATCTGCATATATATCCACGAAAACACATAAATTAACCAAAATTAAGCTATTTGCTAAGGTCACTGGCACATTTAAAGTTCTGTTTACACCTTTAGCGGCCACATGTTCTACAAACACATAAAGTCCACCAGGTCGCAGCACCCTCCTCACTTCTGCATGCAAAGTGCAATTGATTTAGATGATAAACTTGAATTTTAAAAGTGCTATACAATCAATGAATATATATACTTATATGCATACACGCACACATCAGATGTGGTGTGTCTAATGAGAGTAACAGAAGAAGGAGAGGAATTAATCTTAACTGTTTAGTCAAAATGATTTTAGTTAAATCTAAAATTAACTCGGATTTTTACTCTTCTCAGGCTCTCGTATCTCCCCTAATATGTGGGTATGTAAAAGTACCATTATAGAAAAAGTAGTACACTTGTTGATTACTATCTATATGCCCTCTAAGATTTGTTAAAAAAACTGAAAGCAGGGTGATAGACAAGTTCAATGTGAAAATTTGTATATCAGAAATTTGTTGAGTTGGCAAGGGCAATTTCCAATCCCATTTTTGTACATTGTAATCTAATTGTTCTCTTTCGGAATCTAACATATTATGACTGTTATATCATGATATTTATAATTATTATTTGCTAAATATACAACCACCCATGATTCTTTACCTAATAGCTTAAACTTTTGGGTATGGTATTAGTCAACAAACAATTGAGTTTTTATCATTATCATCCACATTCTTCGGATAAAAAGTTGAATTTCAGAATAGGATGGGTGGACCTCTGCATTTCCATGCTTCATGCTTAAAGAGTTCTTAAAAGATGTTAATATAAAACCATTATGCACCATCACCCATCACCTAATAGTTTTTGAAATAGTCGGTTGATGACAATACTAATATATTAATCATAATAAGATAAACATAATATTCATACTAGACTAGTTGTCAATCCATCATGAAATTTATATTTATTTCAATATATAGATTCATAAAAATTTAACTAGAAACTGATGAACATTCAATTTTGGTTATTTGCATTGCATTAGAAGCACTATAATATAACAACGTAGTGACCAATGCCAATCTCTATTATGAGTCAGCATAACTGTACGTTGCTGGGATTGATTATAGACAACAGAATGGTGAATGAGTATCTTCAAATGTGAAGAAATATAGAAATTACAATTACAATCAACTTTTAAACTCAGAAACTGTCATGGTTTGTAATTCCACTTTTTTTCTGCTTCTTTACAAAGTTGAACGAAATATCATGTAATGCTGCAAAATAACTGCTTTGTCCAACTTTCTAACATAACTTTAAATTATCAAAAAGTAATCTATTTTAGTATGGCAAGAAACTAAACTGCAGCTAAAGAAATATCATAATTACACAATCTAGTTGTGACAAAAACAACCTGGTAAACTAACATACACATAATGGATTTAGTAAATGCTCCTGTTTGATTGTGAAGTCCTTCTTGCACCAAATCCCAAGGGAGGCAAAATATAACAAAAACTGAAGACTCTAAAAGTTTCATTACCTTTCAGTGTCATATCAACATCTTTAACAGAACACAGTACCAGGGTTCCAACAACTGCATCAACAGAAGCATCACTTAATGGTATGGCCTCCCCGACCTAAACAGAGCAAACTTTAAAACTCGAAGATCAGTTAACAAAAGCAGAAACAGACAACATTAAATTGAATAAAACAACAATCTAGTTAAAGGTGATTCTTCTAAGAATAACTTCAAATTCGCAAAGTGCATGTTCTACAGACTATTATATTAGGGCTATGATGCATAATAAAATATTTGTATCTGTTGAATATAGAGAAAATAGGGTTTGGAATTAATTTTCCTTGTGTATAAATCACACATAGGGTGGTCTATTTATAGTAGAGAGATACAACTAAAAGAGTAACTGAAAGTAACAGAATAAACAGAAGATATTGTTTGATATTGTGATTACCAATATCTAACAATATCTTAACAATATCAAATAATATCTAAACAATATCTAACACTCCCCTTCAAGCTGGAGCATACAAATCGTATGTGCCAAGCTTGTTACAAATATAATCAATTCTAGGACTCCGTAAAGATTTAGTAAAAATATCTGCTAACTGATCACTTGAGTTAACAAACTCAGTCTTGATATCTCCGGACATAATCTTTTCTCGAATAAAATGACGAGTCAATCTCAATGTGTTTGGTCCTTTCATGAAAGACAGGATTAGAACTAATATGAAGAGCGACTCGATTGTCACACACAAGTGTCATTTGAGTGACATCTCCAAATTGTAACTCTCTAAGCAATTGCTTGAGTCAAACAAGTTCACAGGAAGCTGAGGTCATAGCTCTATATTCTGCTTCTGCACTGGATCTTGCCACAACACTTTGTTTCTTACTTTTCCATGAGATCAAGTTACCACCAATGGAGACACAATATCCAGATGTAGATCTTCTATCCGAAGGAGATCCTGCCCAATCAGCATCTGAGTAGCAAACAACTCTTGTATGGTTATTAGAACCATATAACAATCATTTTCCAGGAGATCCTTTAATATACTTCAAGATACGAATGATCGCATTCCAATGATCTTCACATGGTGAATTAAGAAATTGACTTACCACACTGATCGCAAAGGAAATGTCGGGACGAGTAACCGTAAGATAATTCAATTTTCCAACCAATCTTCTATACTGCTCAGGATCGGATATAGGCTCCCCCGATTTGGTAGAAGTTTAGTATTGGGATCCATGGGTGTATCAACAGACTTTGAACTCATCAACCCAGTTTTCTCCAAAATATCTATGACATACTTCCTCTGAGATATAACAATACCATCATTGGACTGTGTCACCTCAATACCCAAGAAATATCTAAGTTTGCCAAGATCTTTGGTCTAAAAATGGTGACAGAGATGTTGTTTAAACTGAAAGATGTCATGGTTGTCACTATCTGTAAGAACGATGTCATCAACATATACTATCAAGTAAACACATCCAGCACTCGAGTGTCGATAAAAGACAGAATGATCTGATTCACACCGAGTCATACCAAATTGTTGAACAGCCTTGCTAAACTTTCCAAACCAAGCCCTAGGAGACTGTTTTAGGCCATATAGGGATTTGCGAAGACGACATACCATCCCAGAAGACTCCCCCTGAGCAACAAACCCAGGAGGTTGCTCCATATATATTTCTTCTTGCAAATCACCATTGAGGAAAGCATTTTTAACATCCAGTTGATAAAGAGGCCATTGTTGAAGAGCAGTCATGGCGATAAATAAACGAACAGAAGCCATCTTTGCCACAGGGGAAAAGGTATCTCCATAATCCAACCCAAAAATTTGAGTATAACCTTTGGCCACAAGACGAGCTTTGAGGCGATCAATAGTACCATCAGGTCCAACTTTGATAGCAAACACCCACTTGCAACCAACAACAGATTTCTCAGACGGTAACGGGACCAATTCCCAAGTTCCACTATTATGAAGAGCACTTAGTTCATCTAACATGGCCTGACGCCAACCAGGATGGGCTAAAGCTTCACTGACAGCTTTTGGAATGGTCACGTAAGAAATAGAGGAAAGACATGTATAAAAAGGTAATGACAATCGATGATAACTCAAAGCAATATAATGGGGAGAGGGATTACGTGTAGAATGAATACCTTTTCGGAGGGCAATGGGAAGGTCGGACTCATGTGTCGATCCGGAGGAGATAGAGTAGTTGGCACTTGAGTAGAGTCACATGGTGGTGGTTGTGATTGGTTTCGAGAACTATAAATCAAGAGGCGAGTGGAGAAGAAGCCGATCACGGAGCAGGAACTAATAGTGAAGAAGACACAGTGAGAGGGTCACAAACAACAGGAACATTAAATGTATTAGGAGTGTTGACAAGATTAGATGGAGACAGAGGTGAAGATTGACTTTTAAAATAAAGAGACAACTCATCAAAGGTGACATCTTTTGACACCAAATAACAGTTAAGAGAAGGAGAAAAACATTTGTATCCTTTTTGTGATCTTGTAAACCCTAAGAAAACACATTTATGTGATCTAGGAGAAAGTTTGTCAAGACCAGAACTGAAATTATGAACAAAACATGTAGACCCGAAAACTTTCAGAGGTAAAGAATGAAGTGGTTCATGAGGGAATAAAATGGAATGAGGTATCTTATTATCTAAAACCGAAGAAGGCATGCGATTAATGAGATAACATGCAGTAAGAAGAGCATCACGCCAAAAATGTTGAGGAACATCTCCATGAATTAAAAGTGTGCGAGTTGTTTCAATAAGATGTCTATTTTTACGTTCAGCTACACCATTTTGTTGAGGTGTATAAGCACAAGAAGTTTGATGCAAAATACCGTGAGAAGCCATGAATTGTTTAAAAGAATGAGAAAGATATTTACTGGCCATTATCACTACGCAAAACTCTAATAGAAACACCGAATTGAGTTTGAATTTCATTAAAAAAAGTTTGAAAGATATGAAATAATTCGAACGATTTTTAATCAAAAATAACCAAGTGCATCCGGAATAATCATCAATGAAAGTAACAAAGTATTGAAAACCTAAAGTAGACTTAACGCGGCTAGGTCCCCAAATGTCAGAGTGAACCACGGCAAAAGGAGACGAAGCACCACGTGTGAAACTACGAGGAAAGGAAGTACGACTATGCTTGCCTAATTGACATGACTCACACGCCAAACTAGATAAGTTGGACAAGGCAGAGACAAGTTTCTGTCACTTGGCAAGACTTGGATGACCTAACTGAGCATGAAGAAGAGAGGGAGACTCCATAACCGTACTAACATGTGTAGAGGGACGGAGATAATAAAGACCATGAGACTCACATCCTGTGCCAATCACCCGTTTCGAACTCCGGTCCCGTAAACACACGAATTGTTGGTAAAAGTAACAACACAATCAAGAGAATGAGTTAGACGACTGATGGAAAACAGGTTAAATGGAGACCTAGGGACATAAAGAACATTATCAATGGTTAAAGAAGGAAAAAGTTTAACCGTTCCAACACCATGAGATGATACTCTAGAGCCATCAGCCAGTGTAACAGAAGGTAAATGATTAGGAGAGGATAAAGAGGAGAACAAAGATTTGTTACCAGTAATATGATCAGTGGCTCCCGAATCAAAAACCCAAGGACCAGGAGAAAATGATTGGGTCAGACCAGCAAAATATGTATTTGTATGTGTGACAGATATAGTGGAATTAGAAGATTGTTGATCCTTATACCATTCGAGAAATTTGTTGAACATAGCAGGCATGTCGGATGCAATAGAAGAAGGAAGATCCCCTGCAAATAAAGGTGGGGAAAGATTGGTCTGAACAACTACAACAGATTGAGGAGGACGACCATGTAATGTATAACACTTGTTAATCTTGTGACCTAGCTTGCCACAATGTTCACACTTAGGACGCCCTTTTTTTCTGTTTGCGAGGGCGAGCCCGATCATCACGATGGGATGTCAACACAAAAGAATCATTAACAAAATTGGAAATAGTGGAAGAAGTGGAAGAAATCATGAAGAGCGGGAGAACAAACCCTAAAACAATCCAAAGTAATCCAATTAACCCACGAAGCACAAATCCAAAATGAGAATACTAAAAATAAGTTCGCCAAGACTAAACGGCGCAGGAGACAATGGGACGTCCAACTCCGATAGTGGTGATCTCAATGGCACGGTGGTCACCTGACCGAGACAAGCAAAATCATGTCAGCGGTCAAAAAAAAAAATGAAACTCCGGCGAATTCTCCGGCAGCGGCGAATCCGGTGACTGCTCCAGCGGCAGCGGTGACAACAACGTGAACTAGTACACCAGGTAAGTTCCCAAGAAAGAGAGGTGGGTCACTAATGGACACACTTAAATACCAAGTCTTTCCTTGCCAGAACTTTCCTAAACATGCACTTTCACACTACCAAATATAATTCAATAACAAAGATAATTCTTTTCTGATGTGGAGGATCAGTTTACCAGCAGCGGTGGGGCGGCTCTAGTAGCGGTGGGGCGGCTCCAACAGTGGACAAAAGGCGGAAAAAAAAAATTCAAGATAACCTTAAGCTCTAGATACCATGTTGAATATAGAGAAAATAGGGTTTGGAATTAATTTCCCTTGTGTATAAATCACACATAAGGTGGTCTATTTATAGTAGAGAGATACAACTAAAAGAGTAACTGAAAGTAACAGAATAAACAGAAGATATTGTTTGATATTGTGGTTACCAATATCTAACAATATCTTAACAATATCAAATAATATCTAAACAATATCTAATACAACAATATGACCATTTTTAAAATCTATGAGATACAATACATGCAGAATATATTTAAATACGCAAAAGAATTCAGAAAAGACAATAAATATATAATTACAATTCTCCAAATACAAATTAAGAACATACTCGTAGAAGTACTAAAAACAAATAAAAGCTATAAACCATTGTTATCATAAATTACTGCCTAATACCAACAAACAGAAATAGTATCATTCTGAAGCTCTTCTTGAGCACCACCCACAAAGGGGATAGATTCCATTTCTGATTCATCAAGAGATAAGGCTTTTATGCTTCTATCTTGTACATTATGTCTCGTATACACTTGTAGGATTTTAATAACTTTTTCCCAAAGGCTTAGATACTTCATAGATATGTATCTTGAAGTGTCGAATATACATTTGAGGTCAGATACACACACACAAAATAGTGCAAGTATCAGTGCTACATACTTACACAGTACTAGGCTATTGAAGTTATATTATTCTGACACAGAATAATGATATTACATGATCATCCACATTTAGCTTAAACCAGATAGGCCCTAATCAACACAAGAATTGAAAACATCTTCAAAACATTTCTTTGTTCTGTATACTACTAATTAATGGTTTTGGTTTTAACCAGCATGGCATGGTTTCTATTCCTATTCAAAAGAGAGGCTCCAAACTAGTAAGAATATCATACATACAGCTTGTATAAACTCAAAATTTGAAGGAGGCAGTCCAGCTGACGAAGCCGAGGATCGAGCATACTTTTCCATCTTTGGGTTTGGATCAATGCCAACGACCTCTACATCAGAACCACTAGCATAGTAACTGAGGTTGGGACCAGTTCCAATGCCAATCTCCAAGATTCTTTGACCCTTCCCCTTCAAGTTACTGAAGATTTGAGACTTGTACATTGCAACCTAACAAGGAAGCACCTCAAACTTAAACTCAATGCGATAACAACAAAAACTCAGCACCGTCCGAAACAAAAATACATAAATAAAACTCGAAAGAAACCCCACAGAAATGAAGAATGAATAAAAAACCTCATCTTCATAAGACTCGGTAGCTGAATTCATAACTCCAGCATAAAACTCCTCGTACCAATCAGGTCTTGGTGGGTGAAACTTTCTAAGTATAGCCTACAAACACAATAAAGTAAAATAAAAAGTGATTTTTTTTTTCAAAATTACGTCAACAAAAGCATAGTTTTTTGCACAATTTGAACGGAAAATTTGAGTTTTCTTCTTTTATATTATCTGATCAGTGGCAAAAGACCAATTACCGTGTAATCAGAACATGGGTCCGTGGCTGTGGATGATTGAACAGGAAACAAGGTAGTTCCCAATGTTGCAGCTTCAATGAAGTGTCTTCTTCTACAAAAGCATGGTTTGTTGATGGGTTCCGGCGAGTCATGGGAGAGAGACTCGGTGCTGAGTTTGCTTGGCGCGCCGGAGTTGACCTGTTTCTGAAGTGTACGAGGTTTGTTGGTGGCTTCATTGATGTAGCAAACGGAAGTTTTGAGTGAGACGGAAAGCAAAGATATAGTTGCAGCAACAGAAGACGCACAATGAAGACTCATTTTGGTACTGAAACACTGAAATTAAATTCATATATAATACAATATATTAAAATTAATTCATATATTTTTACCAACAAATAAATATTTTGATTGTTATAATTTCTTATTGTTAATTTAAAATTTGTACATTTTAAAATAGTACTTTTTTTTAAACGCCAATATAATACTAAGTGAATTGTTAATTTAATAATAAAAGAAAATATACTTTAATAAAAAATAATTATTTTCATTTTGCATTTTAAAATTTTTATTTAAATTATTTTTTTAGTTTTCTATATACATTTTTAAGTATTCATCTAAGATTAAAATAATAGCCACATATGTTCAAATAATTTTTTAGTATTCATCGTGTAAACTTAAAAAAAAAAAAATTCAAGCTGACGTAGTTTATTAAGTTATTGTTCATTCACTTGATAAATATTAATAAATACACAATTAAATCTCAAATAATTAAAAATAGATAAATTTTAAATATATATATATATATATATATATATTAATACACATTTTGAATTTTTTTAAAAACATATTTTATAAAATGACTTTTAAACAATAATATAAATTTAAGAGGAATGCAGACTACTTGTATAGTAATTTTAAATATTTATTATTGTTCTTTATTTTTTTTAATTTAACTGTAAAATATAAAGTATTTATTCAAATCATTAAATTAAAATAAATAATAAAAAAATTGAGTTACTTTTACAATTTATTTTATTTAGCGTTTGTTTTATTTCTGCATATGGAGAGAGTCCAAATTGTTTTTGAAGACTTAGGGTTTGTTTATTTACTGTATTCTAAAAACAGTTTTCGTTTTTATAATTTTTTAAAATTAAAAACCTTATCTGGTAAAATGATTTTTTAAAAAATTTTAAATTTAATTTTTAGAAAATAAAAAAATAAAATTGATAAAATGTACTTTTTTTAGTTTTGTATTTTTTAATGTTTTTATCAATATTTATTTATTTTTATTATTATAAAGTTATTAAAATCGTTTTTAAAATTTTGTTCCAATTTTTTATATTAATTTTTTTTAGTAGAGTTATTAAACAATTTTTTTGAACTTATTTTTAAAAATTATATAAAACAACTCTTAAAAAATAAAATATAAAACTGAATCAAGTCCTTATATACATTGAGACATTAAATATACAATTTTAAAATAAAAAAATTGGCATTTATTCTTTCCTCCCTTAAATAATAAAATTTACAAACAAACTATACATCATAATATATTATGTAAAAGAAAATTACTAATAATTTTTTTAATTATTATAATAATAATAAAATAAAATAATTTTATTTTTTATTCATTTTTTTCTCTTAATCTAAATAATGCTACCTTCCATTATTTTCCTTTTTTTTCACTTTTATTTTTTCTTACTTTGCACCATCTTATTCAAATAAAGCATTAAAGAAATTGAAAATGATGTAAAAAAATAATAATGAAAAAATCAGACGCCTTTTAATTTTGTAAGGAAAAAATATATATAAAAAAAGACACATAAAAATGACATAAGTGCTTTAATAAAGTTTGGAGATTTATTATTGAGTAAATGTATATTTACAAGACTAGTTCTCATATATATATATATATATATATATATATATATATATATATATATATATATATATTATTTATTTATTTTATTTTTTTTTTCTGCTCACAGTATTTTAAAACATTAAAAAAGTATACTTTTATTATTCACATTATTATTTATTAATATACTGTCAGAAAAAAGTGAACGAAACCCACATTTGATTTGACCTGTATTCGAAGTGAACCACTAATATTTATTTTCAAAAATCATTATTACTAATCATTGTAAAATATATGAATTTTTGCTTTAATTCCAATTAAATATTTTTCTTTGTTTTTAATTGAATAACGAACTTTCATCACTAACATCCATTTTAGGAAAGATAAAGAATATGTATCATACAAATCTTAATTTTTTATTATACCACTTGCGGGGTCACTGGACTTCTCATTTCTCGAGTATCACATAACACTCTCATTCATTCAGCTCACAAGTAACGTGTATCACATAATATGATAATACTATGAATGAAAACACAATCATTTTCAATTTTATAGGAAAAAAGTTAGTTTGGGTTTTGTGGGGTTCTTTTCAAAGTATGTTGCAGTTGGGATTTTTGGGTTTGGGGTATGGTTCTTGTTATTTGATATGTGATGATGAAGGATTGAGTGTATGATGGGATAGAATGTTTTTGTTTGAATAAAGAAAAACAATGATTCTGTTGCTCATAATCGCACATCCTAGGAAGAAGGGAGAGATAAAAAGATAAAAGAGAAAAGGGAATGAGAGAAAATGAATGAAAAATATGAGAGGGAAGGTCAACGTTGCTAGAAATCACCTCCGACCGTAAGTGTGGAAGGAAGAGAGCAAGGAGGGAAATGGAGAAGGAAAAAGAAAAAATCTTGTGAAAATAGTGCACAACAATTTCATAGACATAAGATGAATCTAACAGTGTTAGAAAGTTATTCACGGTAAATATACCATGCTTTCCACCTTAGCCTTTGTCGTAAACTAAGACTAGCAAAATATTATTGGGTGTAACACTCATTTGATCTCACCTCACCACACATAAGAGTGTCCGTGTGTGAAGATGGACTATTAAAACAATGCAATGAGAAATTGAAGCATAACAGGTTCAATATGAATCAAAACACAGACAATATGGGGGGTGTAGGTGTTACACAAATAACACTGTTGTCTTTTGGTAATCCTTGTGACAGACACAAGGAAATAATTCGCAGTTTACTCCTGATTTAAACATAATTTTACTGGGCTGTTTATCGGTTACTCATATATGCCTTGAATATATTATTATATGCTGATAGTTTACAAACAATTATTGTCAAGTTTCACATCCAATCTTATTGCAGACGATTTGTAAGATGTCAAATGTTACAAATGGCACAATCGTGCCTTCGCAAATGAATGTAGAGATCAAGATCTCTCATAGTGCAATTCTAGCACGTCATATAATCCCATACTTGCGATGAGTTGTATCTAAATCATAGTTACAACTGCTTCAAAACCCCAACTTCTAGTTTTTTAGCACAAGCAACTCTAATCACTGTGTCAAAATGTAAAATTATTGGTCAAACCTATGGCTACTAAGGGCAGCTTTGGTCCTGAGCAGCATCACCACCAACATCTTCCATGGCACTCTCTTCCTCTGCTGATGTAATACTGTTGCAGCCATCACCTGTCAAAACAGGGAGAACTTCATTTTCAAGTTTTAACACAGATTAGACCTTCTGGAATAAAAGGACAGTACCATCACTATCATCTGCTGGAGCATAAGCTGAGCGTCTTGAACGAGCATGCTGTTGTGTTGGCTGATTACCCGAAAACAAAAAATAATGTCAACATAATTCATTCAAATTTCAATGATAAGAATAGGAAAACATTTGCTACAATGTATACGTGGTCATGTAGTGGATCAATACTTCATAAACACGTAACACTAATGAATTCTGTTCTCTGTTCAGCCCAAAATTTTTTATAAGAACCTTCACTGCAAAGTTTTCGATATAAACCCATCTAAATTAATTGCATCAAGCACGTAGCACATTTGCCGCATTGCAAAGATGTATTCCAAACAACAAAACCGTGTCTTCAACATAATGGTTCTGCAATTTAGTCTGAATCTATTTGGGGTTTTGAAAAATCATTGGAAACATACTTGAAAAAGGCATGGAGGGAGTGATTAAACAAAGATGAAATTACAATAATGTAAAGCACCCCCAATACAGAAAACTAAAGTCAGTAATTGTTCACATAAACAGAGAAATGAAAACATCCATAATGCATTTTACCTGCAACTTAGGGCGGAGTGCTTCAAGTGGTCCTTTAGGTTTTTGTGCTCCTTGCTGTTTGAAAAATCAAGAAGAAAAGTCAGATGTAGGTATCAGGCGTATAAATAAAATATACTGATGGTAAATAAGTGATCATATTATAATGACAAACTGATGCTTAAGGTCCTAAAATACCTTCCCCAGAGCCCAGTCAGCAGAATCAAAGTAAGCACGTTCATGATCCTGCAAAAAGAAAATTGTTCATGAAGAATAATCAGTTTCAAAAGAACATTTCAAACAAACACATAGATGATCGGAAGACAGAAGGAAGAGAAGCATTGAATAAGCAAGATCTGAAAAGACAAGGTTAGTAACCTTGGATATTAGTGGAGGCTTCTTTGGCAACATCCCCCCATACTTTTTCTTAATAGCTTGTTCCTACAAGAACAAATTTTCAGCAAACGAAACCAGAACATAACAACATAAGCCATGTTACGAGATTTTAAAATTGGAACAAATTCTAATATACCTTCTATCATTAATGCATAATATCTTCAAATGCCAAGTCATTTCAATATTCAGTAATATCAAAACCTACTATAAGTCTAAAAGTTTTCCCATAAATATACTGATCATGTCGTCTACAAGTAACAGAAAGGAAAGATCACGAGGCAAGGATAAGATTGAACGTCGAAGAATACAGCCTTATACTTTCTATAACAACGAACCTTAAAATGAATCAGTCTTTCAGGCATTGTTATCATGTTTGGCTTGCAAACCCAAATTAATCGTGTATTCAGATTTATTTATTTATTTTAATATCTCCACACCAATTACCCAAAAATAACATTCCCAAACAAAAACGTGATTCTCTCATATGCTAACTTTTTTCTTAAAATTCAATTCCACTGAATAACAATTACCTCCTCCTGGGAAGAGGGCATGGGGTTGTCATCTTTCAGATCATCCACAGATTTTTCACTGTCAACTTCGTTCTTAGGAGAATCATTACCAACCTCCTCCTCTTTCTTCATATCCCCAATCTTAGCCTCTGACATTGCTTCCTCTGCACAACACACAATTGCAAGATTGTTACGAAATCGAATCACCAACAATTTTCAATTTTTTTCGGCATAAAATAATAAGAACCCGGCTGATTTAAATCTTAATAACATGGATCAATAACCCCAATCCCTATTCATAAACGGAACAAACAAAATTAGCATGAAAAACGATAAAATTATTGCAAAGTTCTAAGAATGGAACGAGATATCTTACTGTATCGAGAAACTTTGGATCTGAAGATGGATGCAGAGACAAGAAAGAAAGACGTTTAACAGCGAAACTGGAACTTTGAAACGAAAAAATAAAAATTAGCTATAGCTCACAAACACAAGCATCTTCGATTGCGTTCCCAAATTTATATATATACCTTAAATTATTTTCTTTATATACTATTATTTTTTAACATCAAAGTTAATTGATGTAGTATTCTTAATTATGTTTTAGTTATTACATATATAATCATGTTTTTGAGGCACACATGTTTGTTTTGTACATTTATTTAGACATTAGAATTGGACATCTTTGTGAGTTTGTTAAATTTTATGCCATTTAATCTATTCATTAAATTAGCTAATTTAGTCACTAAAATTAAATTTAAGGTAAATTTATAATTTTTTTTCAATTATTTTAAAACTAAAAAAACTTATTTTTTAAAATACTCTTTAGTTTTAATTAATTTTATACTTTAGGTCCATTAGATAATATATATATATATATATATATATATATATATATATATATATAAAGAAAAAAAAACAAAAAAGAAAGAAAAAGAATAAAATGATGAAAAAGAAAACAAAAAAGAAAGAAAAATATTTTTAAAATAATAATAAATTAATTAAAACTAAATATTTATATAATTGTAAAATTATTTGTATAATTATTAATTTTTCAACAGAATAAATTTTAAATTAAAAGGATTTTTTCAATAATATTTTGATATATAATTATTGAATATATTTTTTTATAAAATTATATGTTTTTAAACATTTAAATTTAAACTAATAAAATAATTTTATGTAAAAAATATTAAATATATGAATTTTTTATTTAATTTTTATAATTATTTTTGTATTTGTCACATTTTATAAATAACATAATAAAAAATTAATATATACATATAAATTGAATTTTTAAATATAAAAATAAGTAATTTTTATTGAAAAGAAATAATTTCATATAATATTTTTTCATTAATATATGAATAAAAAATGAAAAACAGAAGAGTAACATTCTTTCTTACAACTTTTTTATTACTAAAAGTATTTTATTTATTTTCTTGTAATAGTGTTTTTTTATTGTTTAATTTTTACTTCTTCTTTTTTTCTTTCTACAATCGAACACACCTTAATATATCTTATTATTTTAATTTTTTTATTGTGTATATGAATAATCAAAATAAATTTTTCAACCCGTCCTTTCTAAAAATAAAGTTAAAATTTCAAACATTTGAACTTATAAAAAATAATGAAATAGAATTTTTTTAAATGAAATAGTAATTTATATGAAAAAAATAAATAAAATTCAAGGAGATCTACTCACATTCGCTGATACATGTTGAATTTTTAAGCTTTCAACACTCAGTACAATTATTATAGAGATGAGTACAAGACACAACCATAAAAAAAAAAAAATCAATTAAACGATTAAAAATATTGAGATATTTTATTTAATCTTTAAACTTTAAACATAATCAAAAATAAAAATAAATATCGAAGAGAAAGTATTTTAGGTATGTTATAATAATAAAAGAAAGTGTAAAAATAAATAAATAGAGTAAAAAATATTTTTATTTATTTAAAATAAAAATAAATATTAAAATGAAAAATATTTATATTAAAAATAATAATTAAATTAAAATTAAATATTTATTCAATTACAATTTACTCATAAAATTACTAATTAATTATTATTAATAAAATAGTTTTCAAAATAATATCTTTAAATTCATATTTATTTTTTAATAATTTATACTTTGATATATAATTATAAAATATATTTATTATAAAACTAATTCTTTTTCTAAAAATTTGAATTTAAATTAATAAAACTATATCATACTATAAAGAAATAAATATATATTAAATTATTTATTTATTTTTTATAATAATTTTTATATTTATAATATTTTATATGTAAACACGAATTTTATATGGGTGAAGAAGTAAACATATATTATATAGTAGAAAGTAACATATTTTTTATTATTTTGTTACTTAATAAGAAAGATAATTTTTTTATTAGTATTTTTTATTCTACATTTTTCTAAAGCAAAGCATTAATGAGTTTATGGTGATTTATATTCATTAACTAAGCTCACCATCACGATCACCATCCATTCCTTTGTAATTTGGACCTAAAAATGATCTTCAACAATTCCTTATACCACTTGCATTTTGTGCATGTGATGTGAGTTGCTTTCTAACTGACATGATGTGCTGATCTCATCTCAATCCCTTTTCCTTAAAGTGATAAGATTTTGTTACCAAAATGAACCCAATATAAGATGATTGAAGAGGATGTGAAAGGAATCATACAATCCTGTCCTTTTCCCATGACATGAACTAATTGCTTTTTAACTCGTGCTATTATATTATTTACTCCTTATAGGATACAGGGGGAACCCAATTCTCCTTCACATCCTTCTCATCCAATCACCACTGAAGCTTAACCTTCCAATGCTGAGTAAAGTTCTCAGGTCAATGTGCTTCTGCTTCTCTTCCTCCTCCAAACATATACAAATGACTTCTTAGGCAGAGTAGAGCTATGTTTTGATGACAACAATTTTCAAATCTTCAAGGTCATGCTTGTGAATAGAAGATTATTTTCCTTGAAGTAAGTCCACTTAACTCAAATTATTTTTAATTCATTTGGAGGGGTGTTTCTTGTTTTGCTGTTATTTACTGCTAATTAGTTAATTTATATAACTTTACTGTGATACGATAGGCAAGAAGTCCATTTCTTAAATGTTGGATCCATGGTGGTGATGAGAGTAGAAAATAATGGTAATCACATTTTGAGTTTTGACTTTGGACTGGTCAGGCTCTTGATACGCCCAATGAAATTTGTTTGTGCAAAGTTCACTTCCTCAGATTCATGTTATTTTGTCCAACTCTCTTTTTTTTTTCTCTCTTTTTGCTTTCCTACTATATAATTAGTTTATGAGATAAAAGAACGAATGATCAGCAGGAAAAAACTAATCATTGTCAAGGGTGTTGGGGTTTAAGTTTTACAAGACAGAGAAAGAGCCATTTCAGATGAAGAGACCTTCATGTCATGATAACTATAAGATGCTATAAGTTCCGTGAACATGATAACAGTGTAGTGAAGCAATACTTCTACAATGGTTTATATATATATATATATATTTGTTGGATTGAAATAAGAAAAGTGACCAAATTTTCTGTCAAAAAAGAACACTCCCTCTTAATCTAACATCTTTCTCTTATGATCCAGTAAAAAATATACACAACCAGCAAAAGTTGGCAATTAAGCATGCATAACCTCGCTGATCTTCAATTTTTCTGTTGTTTTCTACCACATCATTAGAATCATTCAACCCTTTAAAAAAGCGAAGCAATCAGATTCCATCTTTAGCATAAGGCTTATTTCAATTTGCTTTCCATGCAGCAAACTATTTCATTTCACCTAACAGAATATGATGTGGGGAGCTAACTTGGAAGTATTAGAATCTTGAATAGTAAACATTGTTTTCAAATGGACCATGAACATAAATGAGTGTACTAATATGATAGAAGCAAAATGATAAGATTTGCACTATTTTCTACATCAATTTCAAGGGAACCAGGAAATTATCTTAGGCAGTGCTATAGGTTTTAACAGTGGATAAGGAATGCTCTAGCATCATCAACATTGTCATAGCCATGAGAAAAACGGATTCTCTTTTTTTTTGCTTACAATGGCAAGTTCACCTTTTTCCATTACAGGGAACATGACCTGGAATTGATTTGGATGGTTTCTGGGGTCTTATTCATCTGAGATCTTGCATGTGGGCATGAGATATGATGTTGCAGCCAAGGATGACTTGCCGAGAAGTTTTTTTTTCTCTAATTTAACTTCATTTTTAATAAACATTTAATGCATTGATTAGAGTACACTATTGTGGAAGTTTCCACAGGCAGGGATAAGAAAATTTTGGCAAGTCATCTTTGGCTACATGTTTATCCATCCATGTTAACATGTCAGATTCAGGATGATGATTGATAATAGCTGTTACAATGATGGGCTTTGGAGGGAGCATGTGTGGATTTTCTCTGCAAATCTGATTCTAAATGGTAAGTTCCTATAAATATTTTTCTCCAATTTTCAAGACAACCGCGCAACGATGTAGATCAAATATAAGAATGGAAAATTTTAAAATGAAAAACATAAATAATTAGAATGAAAGATAGAAAAATTTATATACAGAGTTTTAGATCTAACTAACACTTTTGCAGCAAACTCACTAATTCCCAATCAGCAAGTGTCCGAAGATACGCACTGCCTCACTTTAATAATTGTTCAAAACTATGCAATCATGCATGCGTACAATTGATCATTTAGGAACATTGTTTGATTATAATAACTCCATCAGAAACATGCTTCTATTTAAACATCCAATAACATGATACTATGTAAACCAACCATGAAAAAAACCTTTTAAGACCATTAATGAAGCTGGAGTTATTGATATACACGCGGATTAAGATTAAGTACATATCTTAAAGGTTTCACATATGATAATTCTATCCAATTGCATGTTACTATATAAACATCCAATCAATAATTTAATTTAATGGATTATTATAGTTGAAGATCATTGTTTATTATGGGGTGTACCTTTTGTTAGAAATGGAAGAAAATATATCTTTTTTACTATTATTATTACATATGAATACTATGCATGTTACTAGCCACCTAAGCATGCATGTCACCTTGTTTGCAACTATCACTTTACAAGGACCAAATGTACTGAATCCACTAAACTTTTGCTTTCAATATATTTTATGGAGACCATTTTCTTTTGAAGATTTGTAAGTTAATCCTTAAAACTAGTTTTTTTTTTTTTTTTTACAAAAAATTTGTTCTTATCAACTATATGTAAAACTCACATCCCACTAAAATATGATCCACCTCCTAGAACAAGTACAGTTCATTGCTTTTTATAATTTTTAAATATTTCATCTCAAAATAAATAACCCTCTCAACCAAATTTAAAAAAAAAGTTATTCAGACATAAACCTGTAATATGTTGGTTTTTACATATAAATAAAAATTTAGACGAATGAGTTTTAGAAATTCAATAAAATCAAAATATATTTCAAAATTCACAAAACACCTTACCTTAGTTCCATCAACAAAATCTTCTAATTTAGCAGGATTTATACTCATCCTTAAAGATAACAAATTAACTCTCACTAATTAATCATATGTCATCAGTTAATAATAACCAATAAAATGTCCTATAGTATAAGAGTGCTTTATGCTTCTAATGGAGCAGGTAAATTCTAGCTTTTAATAATATGAATTTAAGATGGTTGAACAAGTACGAGCAGGTGAATGAATAGAGTGGATGATTTCATTCAACTGCGTGTAAGCAAAATCATTCACTAGCTTCCATGTGGCATACTTTTGACAACAAAAAACAAAGCCACTAGGTACTTGCCAAACCTAATACAAATTGGACATGGTTATTCTACTGCTATATAAATGCTTGTTTTAGACACCTATAGTTAATTCAGAATCACGATCAGAGCTTTATGAGCCAAAGTGTGTGAGAGAGAAAATTTTGAGTTAGAAGAGAATATGAAGGGAAGTTCAATGGAAGTTGGAGAAGTCTCCAAGAAGGGTGCATCCCCAACAAGAGGGTTATCTATAATGGACTTTGTTTTGAGAATTCTTGCAGCTGTTGCAACACTAGGTGCTGCATTGGCCATGGCAACTACTAATGAGACCCTTCCATTTGCCACACAATTCATAAAATTCAGGGCTGAATTTGATGACCTTCCCTCACTTTTGTAAGTGTGTGTTTATTTTCAACTCATTTTAATCAAGTTGAAAAAACAAGGTAACATATTAAGCAAAATGTTTACATAATCTCTGGTTAAAAAAACCCATTCTGGTTAATCACTTTGTTTTCAAGATATAAATCCCTAACTATAAATTGCTTTAACTTAAAATCAACATTCTACATCTTCACCTTCGAAAGTCATTGAGTTGTTGGAAAAAGGGTGGCTAATACAATGGAAATCCAGGTTTTTTGTGACGGGGAACTCTGTTGTTAGTGGCTATCTGGTGCTTTCACTTGTTCTATCTGTCTTTCACATAGTAAGGAGCACTGCAGCGAAAAGTAGAATTCTCCTTGTTGCTTTTGACACGGTAAACATACACGTTCTTCTTATCACCAAGGCTCATCATCATATTTTTATTTTATTTCCTGTTTCTAAAATAAATTTTAAAAAAATAAAGGCAACTTAAAATAAAAAATATTTTAACTTTATTATTGTCAACGGTGTAAAGAGTTCCTACATTATTATTTGAACACAATTTTACATGTATTATAATTTTTTAATTTTATGATAAAAAGTTTGAAAAGTCATACTTATCATGATTTTTTTTATTGATAAATTTTTTTTGTTTACATTGCACATATATAAAACGAATTTAATATGATTATGCATTAGTCTATAACTTTTACATGACCAATCAGAAATTACTATTAATATAACTTTTAAAATATTAGAATAAAAAATTAATAAATAGTGTTAAATTTTGCTTACAAATAATAACAAGTTGAATTGGAATCTCTCCCATATGTTCCTAAAAAAATGGAATACAATATCAGTATAAAATTAAAAAATAGAAATAAAATGATAAAATTAATTTGGTTTTTGGTTTCAATTGATATTCACACACACGCAAAAAAAAAACTTGTTTAAAAGATGTAATAGTTTTAACTTATTTTTTCTCATAAGTTGAACTTTAAATAATATTTCTTTAAATTTTATTATGTTTTTATTTCATTATCATTAGTTTTTATTTTATCACGATTTTTATTATTATTACTAATGAAATTAGGTTATGTATTCACTTTTTTTATATAATTAATTTATTTTTAAAAAAATTCATTCTTTATTTTTTTCATATTTTTATTATTTTTAAATATAATCATAATAATTATTTTTTAAAATTATAAAACTTTCTTGTATGACACTAAAAGAGATGTTAAAAAAACTCCTTTAAATACACTTGTGTGTTTATATTTTTTGTGCAATTAATTTTTTTAAAATAGTATTTTAAATTTTTATTTCATTTTCTCTTTCTCTTATTTAAATATATATCCACTTTTTCTACTCTTTTTTCTCTTCTCATATTTTTATTATTTTTAAATATATAAATCAAAATAACTGTTTTTTTTAACTACAACAGATTTAATTTCTTTTCTCTCCTATAAAACCAAAAAAGCAATTAAAAAATCTTATTTGTACATAATTATAAATATTAATATTAATTTTTCTAAATTATAATTACTAATAAACTTAATTTATACTTATATATTATAATATATTATTAAAAAAATATTTATTAAATTCGATTTAATTCTATCACAATTATATCTTCAAACCTCAGCCATGAACGTTATGTGCAATTGGTCTGCATTACATGACTGCAAGAGAACCACAATTGTAATATAAACTAGTGTCACTATTTTTCATTTCATGAGTAATAATGTATGAAAAAAATATATTAATTCAACCACACAGTGCTCAATAAGATGATTTGAATTTCCCAAACAATTTACCTACAAGAACCTTTGCTTAATTTTTATGTTGCTCAGTCTCTACGTTTAATGTTGTTGATCAAGGTTTGGTTATAATGTTGCAAAAAGGTAATGCTGGGTCTGGTTACAGCCTCAGCCTCTGCGGCAACATCCATAGTGTACATAGCACACCATGGAAATGCAGGTGCCAATTGGTTTGCGATCTGCCAACAATACAACAACTTTTGTGAACGCATTTCGGGTTCCCTCATTGGCTCTTACATTGCTGTTGCTATCTTCACAATACTGATCATTCTATCAGTTGTTGCAATCTCTCGAAACTGATGTGTGCTCCAAGTGTTTCGTGCCCTTTTCTTCATCATAGTTGGTTTGAAGAAAAACAAAATTCTCTTCATGAAAATTTTCCTAGTGTGATTTGTGGTTTGGTATCAAAGTGTGTATAAATTTGAAATGGTGAACTTGCATTTTCTGGGTGTAATCAATGTGTAACAACATATCCAGCATTATTGACATTGAGTTTTGTGTTAAATTTGAAATATTTGGAAGTTGCACATTCTAATGACAAACATTTACATAATATATATGCTTGAACTTCGCTCCAACACCTATATGTTCAATTCAGAATAAAAAAGGAAAAAAAAAGCAAAAATATACCAAAAAATTTAGAATTCTGAAATACCAAGCAGCTTCGTCCTTGTGCTATGTTAGCATGACCACAAGTTCATCTATTGACTTCAATACCTTCTCGTAGTATAGGTACGATTCATACACCTTTGGCGTCCGAATATAACGATCAAACTGAAGAAAATGCAAACCAAATATCACTTTGTAAGACACATGATTTATTAAGGGATAAAAGTTTACTACAAGTGCTAACTAAGGATTCGCCTTAAATCCAGTTCATATAAGTTATAACGTGCAATTAGATAAGTAACAAGAATAAACGTGTGTTTGAATGAGTTTTTTTTTTGTATATAAATTAAATTAGTTTATACATAATTTGTATTTCTTTTTTATACTTCAAACCTACTCTAATATAACCAATTATTTATAATAAAAAATTTAAATGAATGAATAATAAGCTTTGGATATTGGTTGATTAAGATGAAGAACAAAATTTATAAGAGATTATTACATAATCTTAAATAGATATATTAGTTTGAGCATACCTGGCCAAAGTTGGAGATCAACTCATTGGCAGTCTTGACATAGTCCTTGCGACGATTCTGAGGCAAGGTGGAGAAAGCAGTTCTCAAATCCTGGTCAAGGTAGGCCTGTTTGATGCGAATGTAGAACATGATGTACCTCCATGACAGTGTCTCCAGCGGCTCCCTCATGTCATGGAGCCCCTCAGCAGTCTGCTTTATGCGGGCCACAGCGTCTTCCGGGGAAAGCCCGGGCCCGAAGAAGTGCTCCCAGATGAAGGAGCGTGTGCCCCAGTTCTGGGCCAGGGCTTGTGGGGTGCTCCCATGCACTGCTAGCACTGCTGTTGAGGTGGCTAGAAGTGTGGATATGAGGTTCCTTCTCTTGGTGCCGTTGTGGGAGAGAGGGGTGGTTGTGGTGGTGGCGGCGGTGGCGGTGATGGAGGGCTTTTTGTTGTGGGTTTTGAGGTGGGCGTGGAGGAGTGTGGTGGCGTGAGTGAAGCTGGACATGGTTTGTGTTTGGATAATGTGGATTGGGGGACGTAGTGGGTGTTCGAGAGAGTGAGCTTTGAGTGGTGGGGAGGGAAATTTTGGAAGAGCTTCGGGCAGAAGAGTTTTGCTGCCCGTGCTGCCCGCTGCAAAGCTTGATGTTATGTTGTGACACGTGGAACATTTATCTTCTTGAGCTGTGGAACATGTATTTCTTTTATTTATTTATTTTTTAAATCACACTTATCTTCTAAAAATATATTGTCTTAATTCAAGTTCTCTAGCTTGTTTGTTTGTTTTTATATTTAAGAAAAATAAATAATAAAAAATATATTCTAGTTTTTTTATCTTTGTTTACTTTTTTTATTAAACAATCCTATTTACTTATTATAATTCGTTATTTTAAAAATGACTTATTGTAATTAACCAACTTTCCTTTTAACTAAGTATTTAATACGATTATTTATTCAAAATTTAAACTTAGAATTATCTATTAAAAAATTGTATTGATTAAAAGGCTGATCTGATTGTTTAGCCACTTATGAACTAGAAATTTTTTATATTAAAATAGAAGTTAATGATATAAACATCATTATTTAAATAACATCACATGAATCACTAAGTATATAAAATATGACTCGTGTATGTTATTATTAGAGCTCAATCCAAGCTAATTTTACAATCCATCATATATGATCATATAAGTATAGAAAGAAAGAGTAATAGAAAAAGGTAAAAATGTTAAATAATAAAAATCCAGCGGTATCTTGACCTTGCCTTCACAGCAACTTGTTCCAAATAGTGTTGCTTGATGCCTCAGTTTGAGGTTTGGTATGAGACCCATCAGTGGCTTGTAATGATGATGGAATTTGCAACTGTGGCTGCCATGATAACCTAACCACTGCTTTGCTATCCGGCATTCCTGGATTAAGGTGAATTGCACAATGAGACCCCAAAAGTTATGTATAATCATACACAAGAAGAATGACAATTTCAATCATATATGCGATATAAATCACTTCTCATACACATTGTTTACTTTCACAAAACAACAACATTCAAATTGAAATCATATATTAGTTACCTGTGAAGCTAAGGAATTGAATGTTATCAGATATACTGAGAATGCTTATCCGCCATTGTACTTTGTAGATTCCTTAGAGCGTATGGCAGACACTTGCTTGAATCACATGTGTACATAGTTTTAAATAGCACTCTACAGCAGCAATTGCGACTTCAACATAAAAAGTTTTTCAAGTCACACTAATTCTCTTCTGATCCCAATTGCACCATATCACTTTCACAATCTTCTACAATGTCAAAGATTGCAACAAAACCACAACTTAATACCATACATGCATGAGATGTATCCAAAATACTTAATTTTGTAATTAATAGCATGAATGATCTCAAGTTTTCACTTCTAAAACATTTCTAGTTCACTTCTTACTGACTTGTATACCTTAGATATTTGGTTTTCTTGAAGATAGGGACTCACTTCTAAAGTTTTTTTTTTTTTCAGTCCATCAATATTTTTTTGGCTAGATATAAATAACCAACCCCATGATAAACTTCATGTTGTCACATGCAAATAGTAAAAGCATTTTCTTCCTGCATACAGAAACATTATCAACAGAACATTTCTCACTTTTTGCTCTTTGATAATGTCTCTGGTGGTTCAACAAGTATGTTGGACAGAGCAGTTTATTGGCCATGGAGTATCTAAGGTTAGCTGTTGTTACATAACTCAATCTCTGACTAAGCTGTTGTTGGTAATGGATTTACGAGTCCAAATGAATGCTTCATCTCATCAATTTCGTGTCCTACATCAAACATCCTAGAATGCTCACACTCAACCAAATTAAATATATATAGCAAACTAACATGAATATGAACCTAGACACATGTAACACACACACACGACTCATTCAAATGATTAGTTTGCTTAACTTGTACTAATTTATATTAACTAACAATTGCCTGACGAAAGAAACACAAGAATTTGTACTTTTATAAAAGGTGTGATGGTGAGCCACATCTTATTCTTATATTATATACAGCGCATGCACATGCCAACCTTCTCAACACGTCATATCCAATTCTATCAACACCGCCGTTATCAATTTGGATAAGCAACACAAGGTGCCACCAATCACGAATTGAATTAACAATTCATTTGAAAACTCCTTTCTGCTTCAATTATTGACTCGCAGTACACAATTTTCCAATGCCCAATTTTAGTATCCTTGGTCAAAATAAATAATCATCGTGATGATGTATGTGAGCGATGGAAACGGGTAGCTCAACCGTATTTGGCTTCAAATGCTACCTAAGCATGATCTAAGCCTCAGGTTTGATCTGAATCAGAATATTGAATGTAATTCCATTTGCATAAAGTTCAAAGTTACAAATAATAAGGTTTTCTTTATCATTGTAAGTCCCAAAAAATAACCTTGATCACGCTTAATTAATGGGACTCGTGTGCAGTTTCACTTGATAATATAGAAAGTGTTGAAAGAAGTGTTAATGGTATTTCTTACAAAGAGTATATATGTACAATTTCTGTGGGAGCTATGATCTGATTGGATATCACTGAAAATTCAATGGGTGATGTAATATGTATATTTCTACAAAGAATCTTCAGGATAATTTAATTGGTGACGCTTATCGTCATGTTCCAAATAATCCAATTTCTTTTTTTTCCATTTTTTGGTATTATCCTCTCTGATCATAGAGTTGGTTCACAAATATGGTGGGGTTGATGGTGCTGTTCTGTTTCACTTGGTACTTCCCTGAATCTGCTGCATAATAAAGGTTATTAGGAATTTCAAGTGGCTGTTGTTTTACGAACGGGTCCATTCCACCATTGGCAGTGTTTAGTTGAAAATCAAAGGTTGAATTGTATGATGCATCAGATAGTATGTGGGATATTGGTCCCAAGTAATCCATATCCAAAAGATGAGTAAGGGAACTAGTCCTTGGAAATTTCACCACTTCTTGTTCAGTGCCATTATTTGGTGGTGTAAGATTGATTTGTGCAATTGGATAGTCCTCTTTTGCCTCCAATGATTTTCCCATGTTCTTCTTCTTGTAGATCCTACACAAGACCCAGTCATCTAGCTGATGACATATGCAAGTACAGGGGTAAGGTCAAATAAAATAAAATAGCAACCTATAGGGTAATTTCAAACCGTTAAAACTTATAAAATATTCATTGTTTATAGCCTTATCTTTTCTGATAAAAGATACAGGTTATTTCACATTAAAAAATTTATATTAATTAATAAGGCAAAGGCTTACCCTCATGGATCCAATTTGTCTATTGGCTTGTCTTCTTGATCCAATTAATCTATACTCATGCATAATCCAATCTGTCTTGAGACCCTTTGGTGGCTTACCCTTGTAAAAAACCAGAGCTTTCTTCACACCAATATGCTTAGAGCCACTGTAGATTGCTTTGTCAGTGCCAGTGGCCTTCCAATACCCAGACACAGTTGCTCTATTAGGCCTCACCCCATTTGGGTACTTCCTCTCTCTTGGACTAAAGAAGTACCATTCATTTTCTCCAAAGTCTGTTTTTTCTGTATTTCATGAGAATTTGACATGTAAGAACGAGTGAATATGCACATGCACACATATTACAATATGGTCAAATCTAGATAATACAACAGATGTTTAGATATATTAGCAAGTGATATTGTAGTATATGTTAACACATGTACCAGGTAACTCCCATGGATCAAACTTATAGATATCCACTTCTGGGATGATGGATGCAGGGCATGGTTTTGATGTGGCTTGGTTACAAAGGTAGTACACAATTAGTTCCTCATCAGTGGGGTGAAACCTGAAGCCAGGTGGGAGCACAGACCTTGTTCTGCCCTCCATTGAGTAGACCAGACCAAGTTTGAATGGGAAGCTATAGGGAGTATAGTTCTTTGCTAATTGTGAAGACAAAAGAGAAGGGAAAAGAAGGAATGGAAGGAGAAAATTGAAAGCAAGGGTTACAGAGAAATCAAGGTGTTTGAAATGTTTGCAATGAAGTGGATGCCCCTTTTATCTTTGGTTTTCTTGTCGTTTGTGTGGTGGCGCTGCATGGCTTTGATTGGTTCCTGAGGCGACTTTCTACACCTAAGTGCATGCGTCACCTTAGCCACAAGATTCCTTATTTATTTATAATTTATATCACTTATTTGTTTGTCAAATTTCTACAATGGTATTCTTTATAATTAAAAGCATGCTAAGAAAGTATATTAGGATAGATTTCTAAATGGTTGAATGTAAAAAATTTATACTGATAATTAATATTTTTCATCTTTGTGTTTACAAATTTTGCCTTGGTTTTTTGTATCATGTGACATTTATCATCATTTCTTTCTGTGATCAATATTATCTCTTTCTTTTCTTCTATATAATTTTTATACAGATATTTGTTTATACCAGTACAATTTCACACCACACACCTACGGGGGGTCCACAACTCCTTCACTTTTTTTTCATTTTTTTGAGATATAGCACCTTTATCTGTGTTGTGCTTGATTCTGTGTATGGATATTGTTCGAATATACTTCATAAATATAAAGTTTCACATAATTGTGATGTCAGAATGCAGTTTTCTGAATTATTGGATAATTAACATGTCACTATTTGTAATGGAATGAATGATTTTCATTCAAACAAGCAAAGAAAAGTGGGAAAATCATGAAACTTTATATTGAATGATCCCTTTTTGTTGATTATTTGCTTTTGGGTCGAACTACTAAGAACGTGGAACTTTATTTTTCCTTTTAAAAGATTATGTTTTTGTTTCTTTTGAGATTTCTTTGTTGCATTGGTTTGCATGTAACTGCATTTTGTACAAGTTTTATTTAAAACGCAACAATGAAAAAGAACCTATATTTATTTTACACGTTTCTTGAATAAATTGTGCTATTTTTTACTTTCATCATAGATCAAGTCTCTGTGTCTGTGGCAGTTAAACTAAAACAACCTATTTTCTGGGAAAAATAGGGTTCTATCATACAACTTTTGTTACTCAAATTCATGAACAAAAACTGCGATTATTCGTACTGAAAATCATCGTACTAATTAGGCAGAAATCTTGGTGTTAATTGCAATATTCTAAAAAATAGTAGTTGTATCTTCTTTTTGTTTTTAAGTCATTTTTTCTGGACTTCTCATCCTCATAACAAACTTATTTTGGTCTTTATTATTTTGTTGTAGTCTCTTCAAAATATATTTTTTAATATCCATGATCATTTGTTCGTTTTTTAATTAGTTCCTTTAAAAATATTCACTGAAGACTATAGAGATAATTTATATATTATAAGAATATAAACAAAATAAATACTTTACTCTAACTAAAATAAAATAATAAAAATTAAAAAAATTATAGAGACTAAAATTTAAACAATTTTTTTTACTAATCAAAAGTAAAAAATGACTATAATTAAGGAACAAATATTATTAAGAAAAACTATTTATTTATTTAATTACTTTTGCTATCGATTGATGGAAAGATTTTGATGGAAAACTACAAATCAATAGAGAAAAATATAAATTCACAATATAATTGAAAATATCACATCCATTATTAGTTCTTAATAATTTTAATATCTATGAAAAATAAATTTCATATATTTTTTAATTTTATAAAATTAAGCAATTGTAGCTTACGATTAATATATAATTCAATTGTTAAGAGATACTTATTTAGGTAAAATATTAATAGCATAATTTAACTGCAAAATTTAATCCCTTTTATATTAATAATGTACACATTAATATTTTCTGTTAGATATTGAATGAAATATTTTATATTAGTAAATTTGCAAAGGTCAAAATTGTATTTAAGTCATTCAAAAATATCAAATTTGGACTAATGTCCATTTTAAGAGTATTGATATATTTTTTATTAGCAAAGAAGTTAAAAAAAAAACAAATTATTAAAAGGGATATGATAAAGCAATTTTATTGCAAGATAATTTATGAAAAATGAGAAATTACACAAATTCTTTTGAAAAGATAGTTAGGATATGAGATTGAGATTGGGATAGAGACATGTTAGGTATTCACCACCTTAACATTGTTATATAGAAAACAACAAATATAATTAACAGAGGAAAAGAAAGACCAATAATTTAATTCACTCAATACTATAATTTTCTTGAGGTTGGCTTGGCGCATAATACATACATAGAGCTTTTCAAAAACCCTAATCAGAAATATATCCCAATTCAAGAATTCATTCTTTCTCTTTTTAGATAAACTTAGATCACTTATTCGATGTGTTGCGTGTTCCATTCAATTTTTTAAATTATTCTTTGGGGTTTGAAACTTTCGTTTTATTAGACCATGCTAGATACGTTTGAATGCCATAAACAATGATTTCATAATAAAGTCAAATTTTTATACTTTAATTTTAAAATTATTTTTTCTACTTATCATTTATTAGTATTATTAATCACACTTATTTTAAAAAATTAAACTAAATATAAAACTAATACTTCAAAACACATAGAATAAAATAAATATAATTAATCTAAAAAATAATAATATTTTTTTTTCCTTTTATATAGTGAAACAAAGATTGCTTTGTACTACATTAATAACTAAATAAATAAATAACCTACTTTTCTACATATTCCATTGATGTTCTACTTCTAAATTAAAATGCTATTAGGAAGATAATATTTATATTATAACACAACTTTACATTGGGATTTTCATTTTATTTCATGTACAATTTAATTTTGCTAATCTTAATTTAAATATTTTTCTTCTAATATAGTAGTATATTTCTTGGAATAAAGTATAATGGTTGAAAATAGAATAATTTTATATTTTTGTATATTTATCTTTAATGTTTTTAAAGTGTTTTTTTAATATTAAAATTATATTTAAAATATTTTTATATTATTTATTTGGATGTATCCAAAATTGTTGGTGAAGTATAGTCAACAAGGGTAGCTATCAGTGTAACTTAACGAATTGACACGTGTCCTTCTAAAAGGGGTAGGTTTGAACTTGGAAAATGAGAAGATAAGCACTAACTTATAAAACACTTTATAATCTTTCCCTAGTGTTGTGGCTATTACAAGGACAAGTCATAACCTACACCTAACAATTAATAAAATATTATATTATCACCTTATTGCTTTAATATTTTATTCTATATAATACATTATTTTATTACAAATTATTGTTTTCTCCATCTATTATTTATTTTATAAATAGTTATTGCATATGCAACATTTGTAATTTATAAATTACAGGCACACTTGAACTTAAATTTTATGGATGAAGACAAGGTGCATTTGGATAAGAATTTTAAGACTTGTTATTGAGTTTTTGAATTTAGATTTGATGGATAAAGAAAATAAATTTTAAGAAGATAGTTGGAAGTTGGCCAACGGCATTAGTCTTGAGAATATCCTATGAATCTTCACTTTGATTGCACAAGTTAATTACATCTTTTTCTTTTAGCTTAATATTATATAAAATATACAAAAAATCATTTAGATTTGACTTTTTAATTAAATTTAACATATAAAAATTTGTAACTATTATTTATAATCAAATTAGATTAATTAATCACAATAATTTAAGACTACAAAATAAAATCAAAATAATAACAGCCATTATAAAATAATAAACCTTATGTTAAGCAATAATAATTTGAGCCAAACTATCCACTTTCCATATCAGTTATTTCCGTTACACAAATTATATATATATATATATATATATATATATATATATGTATATATATATTAGTAAAAAAAATAAATAAAGTATATAACATGTTAATAATTGAGTGTGCTATTGTTTTCACATAAAATAATATTTTGAGTATAATCTATAAATAATTAGTCAACAAAGAGAAGAGAGTTTATTATAATGATATTTAAAAATTAAAAAATCTTACTACGACACTCAATTATATCATAAGGTATTAAATTAAAGAAGTATATGTTACACTATTAAGATCCTGAACTGTCATGTCATTAGTCATTAGTGTTGCATTAGGAGCAATCCCTAATTCTAAAATCTAAAGGGTTTAGAAGTGTTAAAAACCAAATTGAGTTAAAGAAATAATCATAAATATAAAAAATTAAAAATAGATAAAAATAGAAATGAAATTAGATTTTTAATATTTTTTTAAACTATACAGTTTTATTTTGATTTTAGATTAGATATTGAAAATTGAATTAAATTAAACTAGATTGTATGTTTTATTGAAATATAATATTATATGTTAAAATTCGTTAGACATAATTATCATTTTTATGATTGTATTTAAAGTTTAATTATATTTTATTTATTATGTTTATTAAAAATATGATAATAATGTTTTATTATAAAATAATTTGTAATAAATAATTTTTTAATCATTTAATTTTTTTAATAATAATAAAAGAATTTAAAATTCTGATTAATAATTAAAAACAAATTATAAATATTAATTTGTTTTTATTTATTATATTTAGTTTTTATATCTCCAATTCTAACATCATCATTAAATAGTTTTTTAGCTAATAATGTTAATTTATATAAAAAAATTATAATATTATTGCACAAAACATGTTTTTATAACAACAAATTTTCCAAATTCATATGCATAAAATAAAGATGCAGTCGAGAGTAAGTATTGGAAAGGTTATGCAGAGACGTTCTGCAAAAGGGTATGCAGTGCTCAAAAGGAATAGTATATTTCAATACCATATACAAAATAATAAATTATTTTTGATAATTTTAAAATTAAAAAATAATAATTCCTACTAAAATTTGTACCAATTTTTATTCATAATAAAAATTTACTTACAATTAACATAATTTTTATGAATTTTTTTTTCATTAAATTACAAAAAAAAATCTCAAATATTCCTTGTAAATAAAGAAAATTATAAGAAATTTTATAAATACTTTTTTTGAAAAATTATTTTTGTCAAATAGTTCGTAACTATTTCTTATGAGTAAGTTTAAGTTCTTGTAAAAAATTACAGGAAATTATTAATTTTGTAGTAGTGTTTTGTATTTAATTTAGATGCCGAAATATATGCCGAAAAATTATTCATGTAATTTTTATTCCATGTCTACATGCAATTTAATCAAATATTCCAAAAGAAATAATATGTTTATCAAATTTAGTAAATCATGTTTTTAACCTATGTGTGAATTTAAAGAAATCCAAAATATAGGGAGTCCAAAGAGAAAATAGGTGTGTGAAAAGAAATATCAATTTTGTTAGCACTTGAGTGCAGTTTTAGTCCATATTGTCACGGGCCCAAAGAGCCCATTAAGCTCACGAAAGGTAAAAGCATAAAGCAATAAACCCTCCTCCTTGTCTTTTGTCCTTAGTCGTAAAACTTGGTTATTTTCATGCCTTCGGAATCGAGATAACACACAGCGTTTCACTCCATTCTCCACTCCATCTAGGGTTTCCTACAACCTTCCTCAATTCAAACGTTTGTTTTTTTTTTTTTTCCTCTTCCGATTTTTCCTCTTCCCAATCGGACAGGTGAATCCGTGAGTCTCGATATCCTTCTCTGCAAACGGTGAGTTGAAAATGGACCAACAAAAATAGAATTCAAATTGTTTTGTTGTTGTTCCGATGAATGAGTTGTTCGATTGTTATCTGTTTCAGGATTGGTCGCGTGTGAACGAAGAACATGTATTCTTCAAGAGGGAGTGGCGGTTATGGCCAATCATACACGGGTCAATCCGCATATGGCCAGAACGTGAGTGGTCCCAGTTTGCTGTTTTTGAAAAAAAAAATCATCATTTTTCTGATTGATTTTCAATTTCATTTCCTTCAATATTTGCACTTCCTTAAGAATATTTTTTTTTTTTTTGTTTTTAATTTTTAGCCATGGGATTTGAATATTTGCAATTTCTGGTGACATTGAGTTTCTCATCTTACAATAGTTGAATCCTCTTCCTTAAAAAATGTTTGTTTTACGTGTTTCATGAATTACGTTGTGATTTTTTAAGCATGGAATTTAAGAGCTTGGTAGAATATGGGGTTAATTTGGATTTTATGTTTGCAGCTGGGAGCAAATTATTCTGGGAGTTCCATTGGAGGACATGACGTGGGTCAGCATTCTGTGGCTTCTAGGCATTCAACAATATTAGGTGGCTCTCAGGAAGTTGATGTTAGTGGATATAGGGCTCATACTTCCACTGCTGCTCAGTATGGGGGACAGTATAGTTCTGTTTATGGCTCAGCTGCTTTGAGCAGTGCACAGCAGGTCAGTGTGTTATGTTTTATTGTTTATCATGTTAATGAACTATTTCAGCAACAGGGAAACTTCCGACCTTGTTAATGAATATGATTAACATGCTTATAAATTTATATTCAAGGCCTCTAATGTAGAGAGCGACAGTTACATAGTGGCATTTCTGCATGCTTCACTTCACACTATGTCTGTTTCTGTTAGAACTGCTTGTTCTTGTAACTTGTCTTCTTGACCTTGATGCCCCATATTATCTTTTATTTATAACTCACTATATGTGGGGAATTGATTTTTTGAGCTTTTGTCTAGGTCCCTTCATTGAGTACCAAGGGTTCTGCATCATCTGCTTTAGATGGACGCGGAAGTTATGCTTTGGGTGTCTCTGATTCACCTAAGTTTGCTGCCGCGGATTATGTCTCCTCCTCAAGTCATGGATATGGTCACAAAACTGAACAGTTGTATGGTGAGAAGGGTTTAGATTATTCTGGGATAGATAGGAGGCAATATGGTGAACGCCAGAGTGGTTACATTGGTAGGGACTTAACAAGTGATCCAGCTGGAAGATATGCTGCTGATCCTGTTGGATTTGGTCATCAACGTCAGGTGTATACTTGGTCAAACAAAATGTTGTGTTATCTTTATTAGTTTTTGAGTATCTAATTGCAACACAAAATGAAGAAAATTACTACTTTTCATTCTTTTTAGTTTTTGTTTTTTTGTTATAATGTAATCATGTTGCATTTTTTTATGCTCAGCAATCAGAAATATATGACCGCATTGATCAGGCAGCTTTGCTTCGACAAGAGCAATTGCTGAAAGCTCAGTCTCTGCAAGCTGCATCACTTGATGGGGGTGCTAGGTATTTTATATTATTTCTGAATGAATGTGCCATATTTGTTTGTGTGATGCCTTTTATTTTCAATCCTACAAACTTCTTTAATGAATATAGTATCTATCCACTGTGGTTGTAACATGTAAAACACCTTGAGTTGCCTTTTAAATTTCTGATAAAACTTGACAGAAGTTGGTCAACAGTGTCTAGCTATACTAAATGGTAATAATATTTCTCTCTACACTAAGTAGCAACACGTTTCTGGCAGACAAGCTGATTATCTTGCAGCAAGGGCTGCTGCTACTCGTCACCCCACTCAAGATCTTGTGTCATATGGAGGAAGGATGGATTCTGATCCCCGTGGTTCTTCCATGCTAAATGCTACTTCATATAGTGGACAACATGCACCATCAATATTAGGAGCAGCTCCAAGGAGAAATGTGGATGATCTTCTGTATTCTCAAAACGCATCAAACCCTGGTTATGGAGTGAGCCTACCTCCTGGTAGGGACTATGCCAGTGGAAAAGGTCTTCATGGGAATGCCATGGAGATAGACTACCCAGGAAATGTGCTGCCACATGGTGGGCATACTGATCGCAAGGATGACCGAGCCAGCTATCTACGGGAATTTGAGCTAAGGGAAGAAGAGCGGCGCAGGGAACGCAATCGTGAGAGAGAGAGGGACAGAGAAAAGGAGAAAGAACGGGAACGATTGCGAGAACGGGAAAGAGAAAGGGAGCGTGAAAGGGATCGCATTATGGAGCGGCGTGAGAAGGAGAGGGAGCGTGAGCGCAAACGTGCACTTGAAACTAAGCATGAAAGAACTCCAGTGAGATCCTCCAAGGATCCCCGTGGAACATCAAAAGATCTGCGTGGGTCATCTTTGACAAAGGAGGGGAGATCTTCACGTCGGGACTCCCCACATCATGGTGCTTTACATAGGTGGATCTTAATGATTTTTCTATTTCTGCGTCCTGCTCTGGTTCTGAATATGTAGCTGCTTGTATCTTGCAGCCTTTTGTAACTAACTAAATGTTCTGTTATGCTGAAGGCACCATTCACCTGTTAAAGAAAAACGGAGAGAATATGTCTGCAAGGTAAAAAGGAAATAAGAACTTAGTATTAGTTGCTCCATCATTATAAGAATGTTCCTCATCAAGGAGCTAGTTATGCTGCTGTTTTTCCTCTGGAGATCTGTGGTAGGAGTTGATAGATTAGACTTAGTATTTCGTGAAATGTTATACACTTTCTCCTTCTGTTGGTTTTGTTTTATCTTAAACCATTCCTGTTCTTAACCTGTTCATTTGATTCAATTCAATGATGACTGGAGCATTTCAGTTGCTTTCGTTCCTGTTATCTTTACCATCAGTCCTTTTTTGGTTGAATCCTCATGGTACTTGCTTTCTTTTGGGCCATAATTTATTCTTTCTTGTTACGTTTTGTCCGATCTCTATGGTTTCTTCGCAGTTCTTCACCTGTTAGTTCATTACTTCCTTTTTGTTCCTTCCATTGTTACCCACTTATCCCTATGGATTAATCTAGGGTGTTTTTGTGATAGCGGACCTGGAGATCAATCAAATACAGAGGGGGAATAATAGTTTTTCTAAAATATCTTATTGATGCTGCATTGCAAATCTAGTCCACTTCTGCAATGAACATGAGAATTGATTTCTTGCCATTGAGACCCGATTCATGGTCTCATACTGTTTATTGTTGCATGATTTCTGAAATTAGATTAATTGGGTTTTCATTTTCTGAACTGCCTGACAGGTATACCCTTCCCGCTTGGTAGATGTTGAGAGGGATTACCTCTTGATAGATAAGCGATACCCTCGACTCTTTGTCTCTCCCGAATTCTCCAAGGTATATAGATTATATTACCATATTTGTTAACAGTTATTTTCTGGGGAAATAATTGCTTTATCTTTTGTTCCTCAAAAAGTTCT